TATATATATATATATATATATATATATATCCACACACACAAATCTTCTGTTTGTTTAATTTAAAGCCCTATTTTGAACCCTATTTATGAAAAGTGCCTCAAAGTGAGTTCAAAATGACAAAGAGAGTAAATATGGGATAAAAGGCATTAGTAGAAAAGTCAAAGCAAGAACAAGGGAAGTGCAGCAAAGGTATGCAAAGTATTAACCAAAGACACAAACCAACCCGACCTGAACCATTGTCCCAGTAACCACCACTGCAGTAGGGAGGGGCTGGTTCATTGTCATGGCGATCGTTGCTGGGGCGATAGAGACAGCCACCGTCTCTAGCTGCTGATTGCTGATTGGGGAAGGCTGGGCCATGGGGTCGACTGCTGTGGGTATGGAGGCAGGTATAGACAGCTGGAGGAGAGAAAGGGGGATGGTCTGCCTCTCCACTCCTGCTCCAGCCTTTCCTCCGTCTATTTTCTCTCTAGCGGCTCTGTCCTTCATCTTCACTCCAGTGTGGACAGACTGGTGACGCCGCAGGTTGTAACTGTTCTTAAACTGCTTATTACATATGGAGCAGATGTGTGCAGGTCGGACTGGTCGAGTGACTGGCTTCACTGGGAAAGAGAAAAAGAGAGAGAGATGGTTAGAGGACACTGTAAGTGTTCATATACAGGTGTACGCTATTTGTCGCAAACAAACACACTATGCTGTATTAAAATAATTCCAGAAAGTTTCTACTGCTTGAAAGCAGTAATTACGATGAGATGTGAAATCACATGGGAAATGTCTCGTTTCTTTCTCTTTTTTCCACTTACTGGCAAAAACAGCAAACTTTTTAGCACTATTACATCACAATAATGTGCAAAAAGTGCACATTAGCTATGAAATTGATGCTTTATTTGTGTGTTTTTTTTTCATTCTCTTACCATTAGAGAACTTTCTAGCATGTTTTATTGCTATTTTTCATCAGGACTACATGAAATGCATAAAAAGGGCCAATATGCATTGGTTCCGGAAGTATTTTTACCCCAGGGATTTGAAAAAGATTCTTTAGTTTAGACCTCTAAGCAGTTCCAACACGAATCACATCATAAAAGCCTTTGATTTTAAGTACAAAGGTTTTGAAAAGTTGGAGAAAAAAAGAGAATGGTATTAGACTGTGTATGTCTGTGATGAACTACTCAATGAACTACTCATCCCCAGCAGCACCTCATTTTAAATTTATATAAATTTTTACATTTATAAATATTATAATATTTACAAATAAATATTCAGTAGCTTGAGAATGCAGTTTTATAATATTTATCAATATTTTGAATTTTATATATATATATATATGTTTTTTTTTTACATTTATCTCAGTTTTAGTTTAGTAATTTTAGCATGTCAACTTAAACTAATTTTAGTTAGATGCCAAGGCAACTTTTCAATTTTTTTTTCCAGGTTTTTAATTTTAAGATTTCCATCACATTTTTATAATTTATTTTATTTCAGCTTTATTTTAATGATCAGTTCTTAATAGTTTTAGTTAACTATAACAACACTGGTTCATTAACCCACTTTCTGTTTCCATGGTAAAAGCGACTTCTCTTAATGGCGAATCTCTCTTCAGTTATTGTGGGTAGTGTTGTTTTCTGACAATTAGGCAGGATCACTAAAATACATTAGTTTATCCATTTTTTTCTTGTCGTAAAAATGGGCGCGGCCATTTGAAAATTCTATGGGTCTGGCTTCCGGTCTCATCTGCGTCCACTC